GATTTTTTCAAAATGCTATTGGATTCAAATTGAAAGTCGTTAATGCAAACTATCTCACCTTGAACGCCTTTATCGCCTGTGTTCAGCAAAAGACAACATTAATTTCTACCTGCACACACTATGATCAAGATCAATATAATGATAAGACGAATTTCTATAATAAAAAAATTATCCCAAAAAGTATAATCATGGTATATTAATAATTAATCAATAAACTTTAAATTTTCTAATAATTTCTGTTGCTATAAAAGTTTCTCCGAAAGATCTCGAAGATATATATGCCGATACCTCAATCCACCTGGATTTGTGCCAGCTATACTACGAAAATCAAGGAACACAAGTCATCACCACAGTCGACAAGGGAATCATTGTACTTGGATTTAGTCCTGAGAAACGACAAATAGCATTAGTGTTAAATGCAATGTCGGAGGAACTTATTTTTAATATTGATCAATTGGAATCATTTTCCCTTAACAATGATCGATCGATGTTTATTGTTTTAAGGAAGATTTCAAGTGACAAAGTTTGTTATTGTATTTGTTTTTTCTATTGCATTATTAGGATCATTTTATCCATTTTTAATATTCTTTAGATTGTTTATTATTCTGATCATTTTCAGAGCTTTTATGAGCATCTCGAGTTTCTGGCGACGAATAATTCTGAAGGTGGCAAGCTAGAAGGATTATATAAATTACGGTGCGTGCCGTCAAATAGGATCGCATTCTTAGCTCTAAAAGGCGCCGAATCCAAAATTAAGAGATCGCTAGCGCAAGTTCAAAAGTATAAAGAATTGGTAAGATTTTATTTATATGTTTTAAAGAGAAAATCTTTTTATAATACATTCATTTTATATAAAATAGGTTTATATTCACTGCGTATTTCTTACGGAAGAGCGTGCAATGATACTTTCTATTAAGGAAACTCTTGAGGATTTCAAGAAGCGCTTACAAGAAAGGTTCATGCATCAAATTAAATCTATTTGGTATTATAGACACGAACAGAACGCCACATACATAGTCGATAACAGTGAGTGGAATTCAGCTTTGTTGGGTAGTAGTGTTGGTTGCAGGATGTTGAAAAGACTTAGTTTATATATCGAATGATGAAAGTAATGTAATTTAACTTGAATTACAACAAGCTTCTCGTTGTAAATCAGCATAAACATTTGAAAGCTTAAACCTTATTGTGCATAATTCTACAAATGGGTAAAATTTATTGATAAAAAATGTAAAAGAAAACAATAAATGAAGGGGAAAAAATAAATCTTAATATAGAAATTAGATGAAGTTAAAGTTTTATAGTTCTTGTTTTTAAGATGATTGTGGAATACAGGTGGTGAAGTTAAAGTTTGAATAGATTAAAAGAATAAGAAGAAGGAATAAATTGAGCTACAAAAATTATGAATGATACATAAAAGAGAACGAAGATGCACCATTGACGAAACCCCCAGTAAAAGATTTCATCAAATTCACAAGGCTCCTCAAAAGTGTCTTCATCTTCCGCGTTGTAAATTTTACCACTAGCTGACTCAAGGAATGTAGGCTGCTTGTTACTCTCTAGCTCGATAAAGATGTCATTAATAAGAATAGAATGAGTTTGGTCATAATTCGAAGTCAAAAAACTTTCAACGATAGTTTTCATATTATGGGTAGAATTCTCGTTTTGCTCATTGACAATATCAACAAAGCGAAATCGAACAATTGAGGTTGATTCGAGAAATGGCTGAATTTTTCGAAATGCTTCGAGGATTTCGAGGATCCGTGGTCTTTCACTCATCCTTAAGACAATTTCTTGCAGTAATTTATCATTTTCATTCTCATTTTGTGGTTTGAGAAGCTGTGTATGAACTTCACATTTGAGATTGGAATTCAATTTAATTGCGTCACTACTCATGATAAAACTTAATTATTCTCAGAAGTTAGCGAAAAGTTCAAGTCTTTTGTTATTAGTGATGATGATGAATAAGATTTTCTGAGAGCACTCACTGTCTTTTATATATATATATATATATATATTCAAATTTGTACGAGTCCACAGTCAACAAGAATGCCTCTAAATACGCGCAAATGATAATTCATCTGTGTCTTGGTGGCAACTAAACAATTAGGATATTACTAAATATAGTTTAAAGTATACACTTATCTCTAATCAAGTTCTTTGTGTAAAGTTTCGTTGGTCAAAGTAAGGCAACAATAAATCCAGTTTCCTGCGGAAAATTCCTTACGGGAAAACTTATTTACGGGCGCTCATTTATCTAGCACCTTAAAAAACGTGTACGCAGAAATTGAATGCACATGGCAATATTTAGAGGTATAAAAAATTCAGGAGAATTTAAATTAGTTTCACAAATATAAAAAATTTAAAGAGATGCACTTTTATTAGAGACAGATTTAGAGTAAAAACATTTGCAGAAATGGTACAATGGCGGGCGTATAAACTCACTAGTATATATGCTTACAAGTACATGTCTTGTTAAAAGCCAAGATTTGATCATGGTTCCTGTAGGTTTGATTGGGCACTTTCAGCAGGAATACATAATGCATACTTAAAAAGGTCGATCATGTATTAATTCAAATGTGTCACAAAACAACAAGGTAATTTATCGCATCAAATCGTTAAGAACAAAGACAAAGACTGGCCACAATGAACAAATGATCATATACGTCTAAAAATAGAAACAATTACTCAAAACAAAACGATTTCTTTTTGAAAAAAAAAGGCGCGTTCATCTATTTATTAAATTAATTTTTTAATAATTTTTCTGAGCAGGAAACGAACATAGGAAATCATTCAAATAAAACAGCTTTCACTTGATAATGCAATTTCATTATTGCTTTACTACAATTTTCGAAATAAATAACTCAAATTCACATGAGGACTATCCGTAAAAGCCAAGCAAACTATGTAATTTACTTAGAATTTACTGACGGTCTCCATTTGAGCTGCCAGTTCAGCCATACTATGATCACGTAGATAATGCTTAAAGAGATTAATTAACAGGTTTTTCCATTGAGTTATTTATTTCTGATTGATGATTCTTTGTTTAAAAATCTTAACTTTGGAATATTGCTTATATAAAAATCTAAATTATTTTTAATTTATATTCTTTGTTTAAAATCTTAATATTGTAATATCACTCATATAAAGTAATTTGATAAAATAGTGAAATTGAAAAAATATATTTAAAAGTACAAAAATTCAAGTTAATTTTCAAACACATGTAATGCAAAATTTATCACAATTTTTGTCCAATAAGATTATATACGAGACAAAACATATTAAAAAGTATATATATAAACTTAAAGTTTTAAAATCAGAAAATTCAAATAAAATTTTTGAAAATAAAATTTTTGAAAATAAAATTTTTTTATCTTTTCAAAAATAAATAACTGCAAATTTTAATAGTCAAATATCTCTACAGTTACATTTGTTTATAGTCATATTTATTTATAATTACCTATTTTGCTTTTTTATTTATATATAAATATAATAAAAAACTCTTTTTATATTCATATTTCTTAATTTTGCTTTTTTGAAATGAGTTATAAAGTGTTTATTCAAGAATCAATCAAATTGCTCAATTTTTAAAAATCAAGTAATTTGATAGTTTTTGAATAAAAACTCTGTAACTTAATGGCATTATGCATTCTATTTTTAAACTATAATAAATTATCAAAAATCTAAAAAAGCATAATAAATATGGTAAAAATTAAAAATTTTATTTTTATTAGTAAATATTTTTTGTTTTTATATTAAAATAAAGCTAAAAATTTGTATTTTTACATATATTTTTTATAAATTTTTTAAATTTAATTATAAAATATTTATATAATTAACTTTATAATTAAAAATAATTACGAAACTAAATTTATAAATTATATATTAAAATACAAATTTTTAGTTATATTTTAAAAAATATTTATTAATAAAAATAAATATTTTATTATAAAAAGAATATTTTAATTTTTATTATATTTTACTATAATTTTTTGAATTTTTAGTAATTTATTATAAAATATATATAGTAATAATTAAAAAAATATTATTTTATCAAAATATATTAATTATTTATTATATAAAAATTTTTAATTTTTATTATTAAAAAAATAATAAAATATAGTAAAATTAATATTATTACTTTATATTAAAATTTATTATTTTAATATAAAGTAATAATGTTAATTTTACTATATTTTTTTTTAATTTTCAGTAATATAGTATAGATATGTGTATTATTCAAATTTTTAAATTTAATTTAAAATAACTTTTAATTAAAAAATAAGCTAATTAATTAATTTATTTTACAATTAAAAAATTATCTCAAATTAAATTTAAAAATCTAAAATATATATATATTAAAATATAAATTATTATTAATATTTTTGAATAAAATAAAAATATTATTAATTAATAAAATTAAAAATTTTTATATAATACAATTAGAAAATATAATAATATTAAAATTTATTAATAAAATATAATTAAATTTTTTATAATTATTATTTTCAAAAAAAACAAAATTTAATAAATATAAATATATAATTATAAAGCAAGTTTTTATTATATATATATAAATAAAATAGTATGACTATAAAAAATATAAGTATAAAGAAATTTGACTATATAATAAAATATAAAATTTTAATCTTTACTAATTAATTTGTAAAACTTTTTTTAATATTTAATTTAAATTTTATTTAATACAAAATAAATTAATTAATATATATTAAAATATATATTTTTTAATAAATTTTAATAATATTATATTTTTTGAAATTATTATATAAAAATATTAAAAAAATCCAATAATAAAAAAATTTATTTATAAAATATAATAAAAATAATAAAAAATATAAAAATTTAAGTTTTTTAAATAATATTATATATTATAATATATTTTTTAGATTTAATCTAATAAAGTTACTTTAATAATATATAAAATTAATAAGTTTTTGATTTTTATTATATATAAAAATTATATTTTATTAATAAATTTTAATATTTTTATATTTTATTATATATAATTATTTAGTTTAAAATTATAAACAAAAAAATTTGTATTAAAACTATAATTTAATATTATAACTAGAAGATTTTTAATTTATTAAATAAATATTTATAAATAATAAAAAATTATATAAAATTTTTGGAATTTTATATATTTTGTATATAAAGCTAATTAATTAAAAACATTTAATAAGTTTTCTTAAATAAAATTGTTTTTTATAATATAAAAATAATTAAAATATTAAATAATTTGATTCAAATATAAATTAATTACAAATTTTTAAAATATTTAATATAAATTGTAATATATTATTAATATAAATATATATATTATAATATAGTTTAAATTATAATATATTATTAATAATTTAGTATATAAATTATTATTAATATAATATTTATTTTTACTTTATATTTTTATTAAAAATTAATTAAATAAAAACTTAAATTTCGAAAATAAACATTAAATTCCAAAAATATTCTTAATATTATTTAAAAATTATATTCAAAAATATAAAAATGAGATTTTTTATATAAAAGATTTCAATTTTATTAATCAATCTTTTTTATTTTTACACAAAAATATAAATAATAGCTCGCATTTTAATATATATTTTTCAAATTTTATAGATTTATTTATCTGATAAATTTTTTTTAATTGCAAAGTTAAATAATTTGAAAAAAATTCATATTAAAATATGAATTATTTTTGCATAAAATATAAATATTAATTAGTAAAATTAAAAACTTTTATATAGAAAAAAAAACTTATATTTTACTAATAAATTTTAATACAATTTCATTTTTTTGCAAGTTACTATATATAATTTTTATATTAAATCAATAGATAAAAGCTTAGAACTCTAAAAAATGATTTTTTTTGAAATAATTACAAAAAATCTTATTAAATATTATTAACTTTAAAAATTCCAAATAAAGCTGTTATAACTGAATCAAAAGTAACTAAACCAACTATTTAGCGTTTTATTTCTAACTAAAAGAAGTTACAATCTATTCTTTGTAATATTGGAGAGAGGTTAATGTAATTATTGATTATCTAGTATGAAGATTTGTAAATTTGGAAAGAATGAAAAAAGTTTGAGAAAATAATGCAAGCTATAAATGAAAAATAAAAATTCAGATTTTGTTGCACGATTCAATCAGATTTTCATGTGTCAAAAGCAGGATTCTGTCACAATTGGGAGAGAATACGACCATGATTATAATATCCCTGCAAAAGTATATGATAAATTTGGGAGTAATAAACTCGAAATTTGACTGCAATGATATCTAGCAAGTTTATCTGAATGAGCTTGATATTGTATTCAAATATACAATGAATTGATATACTTGACAACCATGAATTGTGATTATTTGCATCTTATTATTACATGTAATAATTCTACAGGATCATGCCTAACTTGAAAACACCAGATGCATGTTTTAAATGATTCATCCATCCCAACTGTGTTGTGTCTTCTATGCTTCTTGAGACATTAAAGAGAATGAGAGTAAATTGTGAATTATTTTTGACTTGTTTGGAACATGCTCTTTAATTAAGAGATTGGACCCGTCTAAAAAAATACAACCCGAGTCACCCGACGGTTGTACCCGATCCGAGATTCAAAGTTTATGAATTTCATAAAAAAATTATTTGTGCTCACTATTTCTAACAAATTTTATTAGACTTATTCCGTTTAACAAATAATAATTTGATCACTATTTCAGGCACCAAACAGTTCTTTTAGAGGTAATCTGATTTCCTGATTTATTCCAGATTAACAAATTCAGATTCTGGCCTAGCAAATGAACTCGACGCTGGAATTAACCGACGGGTTGACCCATCCGACCGCAACCCAGATATCCGATCCACTCATGGGTAATCCGGTTGTACCTAACCCGGGTCCAATCTCTACTTTAATTATGTCTCACCTTGTCTGAAGCTGGATTATTGTATTGATCCTTCAATCGTATAAACGGGTATCTATTTCAAAACAATTTAAAAGTGTCATTACTAGAATACTACGTAAAACATTTTTACTCAAAGTAAAATGCATCATTCTAACGCAGAATATGTTATCTCTCACTACTACATGTAATAAGAAATTTTGAATGAATTCAATGTCTTGTTATATTTCCGGATACTAAAACTTTACCAGCATTCAAGTTCTAGTTTTCCATGATATTTAATAATACAAATAAGATTTAAAACTCAATTTTTGATAAATTCACTCAATCGGTAAACAAAACTTTAATAATAATTAGCTATTTATCTTTGCCGTATTTTGTTGCATAAACCACAATCTACGTAGTCCTATTTTTGTTAGTAAACCAAATTATTTTTCCGCGAAATAAATAATTAAGATTCACGGTGCAATTTCTTAAAAATTTTAATTAGCTTTTTGGTTCAAGTTTCTACAGATGCGGATAGTTTATACGGTAATAAAGACCGAAATATCTTTCGAAAATAGGGCTCCGAACGATTCAGTAATGTGCAAAATTTTATGAAAATTTATATATATGTATAATAGAACCTAGCAAATATTGTTAATTATTAGCAGCTAGTGTGTCAAAACTTTACATTATGGTCGATTTTACGTTCAAATTTCACGAATTAAATTTTATACATGTATTGATATCACCATACCGAAATTACCGAATCACAGTCGGTAATTACCGATCGGTAATTAGAAAATATCGGTTCGGAATTACCGAACCGTTACCGAAAATCTCGGTAAAATAACGGTTCGGTAAATTTCGGTGCCCTATTCGAAAAATGAGCTGAGCTCTCTTTAAGCTTAAAATTTTCAATAGCAAAAATTCAGTGCAGCTATAAACTACGTATAAAAATCAATTGATTTAATTCAGAATAATTTCGCGAAAAGACAAAAATCACGACTTAAAAATATTGGCGCAAGACGCACTATATAAAATTGAAATTGCGTATTCTAAAAAATAAATTATTCTGAAGTTGTACTCGTCGTCATCATTCAAACTGTTGCTATCGCTGCCATTATCGTTATTCTCTAATTTCCGAGTTTAGTTAGCTTTATTTTTTTCGAATTTGCATGACTTCCAGGGATTCGTTCTTTGATGTGTGTGCATAATGTAACACATACTGAACATCCAAGAACGAACAATAAGCAAAAAATCAGGCATGAGTCAATAAATTAATGTACGTATTGTCACCAACGGTTTGATTTAGTCATCAACTGTTGGTTGAAAAAAAGCGAATGACTAATCTTTCCAATTAAAAATTTCCTCTATAAATGCTTTTTTTGATATGCATAAAAACACATACAGTAATTTTTGAATCAAGCTTTCATCATTTGAAGTTCAATGCTGTATTCTTGCGGCTCCTCACTGGTGCTGATTTAAGAAAGATCTATTTTGTTCCCAATGATGAGACGAAAGTATTGTTATTAAAGCAAAAAGCTCACACATTTTAAAAATATATATAATTTATTTAATGTAATTACATGTACGCACTAAACACAAAACAAAAATAATAGGTTAAATCACTATCAATAAATTATACCGAAAATGATACAAATTGAATAATCAAATAGCAAAAATAGAGATAGCTTTATTTCATAACTTTGGAATATAATTTCTGTCCACAATAATCTACCAAAAAATGTTAATTTTTCAGTCGGACTGAATTCTTTTTGATTATTGGTCTTATACAATAACAATAGAAAGGAAAAGCCACAAGTGAGATCATAGGATTGTGAATTTCTCGGGGATAATACCGAATGGTCAAGTGACGGAAATACAACACAACGAACAAATAAAGGGTGTAAGCATATTGACTTATGTATTTGCAAACTTAATTACCGTTACATGTAATGAATTTACTAGACATGATTGGCTAAATCAAAAGGCATGAATTTACATATTGGTCGGTGCTATGGAATGTTTATTCTCAATTTTTAATTCTAATACCTTTAAACCATAAAAGCTAGCGTTTAATTTCTTATATTTATTGAGTCTGTAGTCTATTATTAATAACATAATTGTGTACGCTCCCGTTATCCACAATAATAGGCATAATGCCAGACTGGCGTATTGTCAATCGAAGCTGAGCAAAAATAAACGTTGTGGGAGCAGATATTTGCACGCAAGAAAGATTTGCATGGAGTTGTTATTTAGATTGAATTATCTGGTTCGACATTTTAATTCTCGTTGATAATTATTAATCGAAATTTTTAATTACCGTTACGATCACCAACCTAAATTAAAAACGCAATACGTAATCGGTATTACATGTACATAAATTAATAATTCTATGTTTTGGACAAATTATACATGTAACTTGAAATGAATGACTCACCATGCCATGCCAATCAAGAAAATCGTTTTATCTAAAAAAAAAAATTAGAGATAAAGAAGTTTTCGTTTGCATAGAAAACCATACTACTATACTACTATCAAATATAATGAATCGTAGGTTTAAATATAAAAAATAGGATCATAATAAAATCAGCCATTCATCACTGAAACTTACGAAAAGAAAATAAATTCACTATTAAAAAAAAGTACAGTATATTATTTTACATATATTAAGAATTCGTGTATTTTTATCTCTTCTAAACTGGGCTTAAATTTTCTTAAAAAGCTTATTAACCATTAAATCCATAATTTAGAATGAAGCGGAAGTCAATTATTAAGCCATATTCATCAACTATTCGAAGAAAGTTTTGTTTCTTTAATGTTATTATAATTGTTCACTTTTTGCATCCAATTTGCAAATTCCATGCAAACTTCAGTGTTTTCTATAATTGTAATTTTTCTCACATGATTAAAAGAAGTCTCAAATCTTTTATAGACTTTAATATTGTCGAGGCCGGTGCAACGTCGAAAACTCAACGATTCGATATTGCAATTAGCTTGTGGGTTCTGCAAAAGCGGGTGCGAGGTAGTGAAATTGGTATTGATAAATTCAATATGAAACTTCCAAATTCCATCTTGGAGGAATCGGTCTGCAATGAACTCAGTATTTTGGACAATGTGATGATCACGAAGATTTTTGAGGACGCGAAATTCGTTTACCCCTGCTGGAAAAACTTTCCTCATGTCTAAATCTTTTCCGGAATGTCGATGATCTATGAAAATTTCGAGATATTTCTACAATAATTATTTGAGGTGAATAATGAGCGTAGCTTTCTGATGCGGTAAAAATTGATTAAACATAATTTTAAGCTTACCATATTTTCCTTAAGACCAGGTAAAGCCTTAAATATTAAAGGCACCTGCGGTGATTTTTTACATACCAAGCTGCATTCTTTAACCGAATTCAACCAAGTTTGAAAGTTCTGGGTATTGTGTATCAAATATTGGCACACCTCGAAAGAAAGTGTATCAATTGTACAAGAGACTTTGCTTATCTTGGAATTTCTATCACGAAAAACCGTAAATAAAGCTTCATATAATGTCCAGATATATTCCTTGCTGAGCTTTCGACGACACCAGTCAGAGACTATTTCAGCCATCATATCGAAATTTATTTCGGATGCAAAAAATGGATAGTCGAACTTTGGCTGGGCATAAATTTTCCGTGAGAAATTCTTTGGAAATAAAGAACTCCATCGTTCATCATTAAGAAAAGCCAGGTACACGTCAATAACTTTTCGCTGTTGTCGTGATGGTGAACTGGCACAAAAAGGTTTACTCCACAATAGAGGGACGGCCGATCCACACCATTTGCGATTCACTAAAATGCAAGAATATAATTCTGCTAGTTTGAATTGGCCGTTATCCCCTTCTCCCTCAAGTAAAAGTTTGAATATCATTCGAAGGATTTCTGGTGGTAAAATTCCAGCCATTTTCTTTTTTTGGGTTTTTTTTACGAATTCTCGCAGTTTAAATAATAAAATAATAATAAAATCTTCTTAAATAAATAAACATAATATTTGTAATTTGATTGTGAAAAAAAATTTTCTATAATAGTAAAAAACATGCATAATATACCCGGAGACCATCCTTATAACAAAAAATACAAACATTAAGTTTGTACTTTTCATGCTATGCATAATTATACAATAGCATGTTCCAATGATGGTATTTGTTATGACGCCTGTCCTTGTATTCTCTTTTTAGCTGAAGATTTATAATTATCTATAGATTTATAATTATCTATAGTAAATTCTTCGAATTCCTGCTTTAACCTGTTATAACAAAATCTCCTCGGGGTAATTTTAATTGGTATGATTGTGTATTCAACATAATAACAGTTAAAAAAAGCATTCTTAAACTATTTATAATCTATTACCTAATAGCCCCGTGTTGCTTTTGTTAATGATTAAACCAAAAGAATGAATATTTAATCTGAGTAAATAAAAGTACATGTACAAACATTTATTTTGAGAACAATATTCCAGACTTTTATTTCCTTTCTAAGTTATGATTGAAAACAAGTCTGGACTGCATGTACGAAAGCACATGTTACGTGAAACAAGTAAAGTTCTTCATCTTAGATTTGAATTTCCAATTTCTGCTAATTCGCGATTTTTACGCCGTTAGAATCGAACCAGCTAGTCTATTTTCGTAGATTCACGTATTGGCGATCGACAGGATCAAAGGTTTAGTTTGCAGTCCGAGCTAAAACGAAAGCAGTAAATCGGTTTATCATCTATTCTGTAGCCCGCATCGCTGTTTCTAATTCGTTACGCGTTGCCATGTGTGCGTGTCACCTGGTGATGTACATGAAAAATATCATTTCAACAAAGAAATCTTAACTGTTAACGTGTAACAAGACGTTATCATCGAGATTCTTAGTTTTTGTTTAATTCGAGACTTTTAACCAAATATTAGTATGTTGCTATCATGTATAACCATGCATATTGTGCTATTTATAGATAAAAATTCGGCCCTTATCTAGATTCTTCTCGTGATTTTTTTAATGTATATTTTTGTGTGTAACATGAAGATCAGATGTTACAAATTCATCTAGAATTCTTTCACGAAAATTTATTTTTACGCACGCAAAAATATCCCTGACCAAAAAGTATTACATGTATAAACCCAGTAAATACCATAAATGTAACGTTTTGTTTTTAATGTAAGAAATGAGAATTAATAATTAAAAAAGCGATGAATGGTTTACAAGATAGTATGCATTTATTATATATACAGTTATGAGACAATGGAGAAATAAAGTTCTTTAAATATATTAAGAGATAGCTTATTACCTCGATACTGTTTTTCTGATGGTTATTAAAAAACTGCAGTTTTTTGACGCTCCCGAAAGAGATTCACCGCATGCATAAATTTATTAATAAAACATATAATATAAAAAATTTTCGAATCGCTTTCCAATAAGGAAATTTTTTTCCGGTTAAGCCTGAAAAATGTATGGGTTGTATTTTTATTTCAATACAAAAATAAAAATATTTATTAAACTTTATATAAAGAGAAAATTTCAATTTTTATATGAATTCAGGAGTTAGTGTGTAATTTTTAAAAACTCACAATACTTTACTGTTAAACTTTAACTTGAACGCTTTCTATCAGTCTATTTAACAATTGTTCGCTATAATCGATTTTTGGTACAATATTTAAAATTCAACATGTTGAGTTATTATTAAAGAAAATTATTCATTTAACGAGAGACTAATCAATCTATTGTTTTGGAAATTTCATTAAGATTTCATGTTTTTTCTCTACATGTATATAATTAAAATAAATACCTGGCTAACAAAAGACGTGTTTAATAATAATCAATGGAGAACACGATATTACTCTGATATTATGCGCATTAAATTTTCTACTTAAAAAGGAAATACTCATTGTCAAAAGTTTTCGCGGAAAACTTTCAATTAATATATATTTAAAAGAATTAGATTGTATATTGTTATGAGCACAAACATTATTATGGATGTTGGTTATCTGTCTGTTATTATGGCTATATTATATAATCAGTTTATGTATGTATTTTAAGATCAAACCAGTCGATATCCAATTGGAAAAAAATAAACTTTTACCGAATTTAAAAACACTCAACTGATAAAGAATAAGTGGTAAACAAAGTGACAAATTGTTTGAATTGATGATGCAGTCCTTTGTTTGAAAAAACAAAAGAGGCGCCAAGCTCTTATGTTTCAAACACACGTGCTGTATGTTTTTTCTCTCCGGCGCTGAATATTCAGAGTATCCATTTAATATTTTAAGAGATTGTTCTACTTAGAAATACTAAAAGCTTATGGAATCCTATATTGATTATGAAAGATTCAATTCATATAGAATATATATATAATTAATATATTTATAATCGCTCGCTATTATGTATTATTTATAAATACTATCATAATTTATATTACTATCATTATTGATAGATTGTGTGGCTTACAACAGCAATAATTAACAATTTTATGCAGTGATTCCATAGAAAAGTTACAATAAGAAAGCATACTAACTTTATTTGTTTGTTTTATAGCAAACATGTCAATTCCTGTAACATCATAAAAAATCTCGAAATCCAGAACAGTATGAACCCGTCAATAAAAACTTTTTGCTATCCAAACAAATAAACCTTATGACTTTTGTTTTTAGAAACACTTCTATTTCTATCTCTTATTTTCCTCTCAAACGGAAGTTTGAATAGATTATGTTATCAGGATAAAAGAATTATGTCAATGAATGCTTGCCGATTAGAAAAACATCATTGTTTTTTTGACACCCTTTTAATGCTTGACAATAATGTATTTACATATTTTTCAGCCGAACACTTCACCCTGCATTATTTATAAACAGAGAAAGATCGTCTTTATTTTTTTTATTTTGCATAGAGCGGCATATTTGCTTAAGGTTTTCATATTGATATCAATATATTTTTAAGAGATTTTTGTCATTTGAAGCACAACACTATATTTAGGTTATACTGAACCATAAGATACTATCGCTATGTTTTTACTATCGCAATTGTTTGTTTCGCATAGGTTTCTTTAGACCTAATTAATTCGATGGATTTCTTTTCATAGTGTGTTTTAATAATTGCAATTATCAATCTAGAAGTACCGAAATTTCGATTTGACTTATTTGATGATACAAATATATTTGTTTCTCCTATGTAATATATGTAATAGAAGATTCACAGCGAATAAAAGAATGATACATTTATTTGCGAGCACTATGCAAAAACCCCTTAACATATGCATGAGATATAGCCGTGGAATTTTAAATCCAAAGTCAAAGAAACCATACTATCCTAGTAAACCTCGAAAAACATTGCACCATACTTTCAGCACACATGAAAGCTAATTATCAAAATTTTGAAAAAGTCTGTGAATTTTTTGCAGCATTCGAAATATATCATACATGTTTGTGACAAAAGAAAACGTCGTGCACAAATTTATGCACCAATTATATTTTATTTTGACGATGTATTAACGTCATAATTTATCTCTAACAGAAATGACTTTGAAAGTCTAATTCGCTAAAAAAAATTAATTTAATTTTTGTCTACATGTATACGTAATGCATGTATGCACGTACTAGAGCACTTTTGATGGTTTCAAAAATATCGAGTAACGTTGAAGGCTATTATCTTTGCAGAGATAACTGCATTTTGATATACATGTACCAAATAACAATCAAGCAGAATTCCTTTATCACTGTGCTTTAGATTGGAAGCATCATTACGTAAACATTGTGTCACACATACACAAGATAATTTTGCAGATGATAAAAAGAACAGATCATTTTATCTACCGATACATTCAAAATATAACGATAATTCAAAATGCTAATATGTGATCATTTCATGTTCAGTATGCTTATACTGTATGTGTATGTGCTATTTGTATGTCTCTTTTATTTGAAACTTACAGATTTTCCACTAATCGCCCGACCAGTTTGGTTTATCGAGTTTTGACTGATACAACTAATTAATATAAAAACAAAATACACATTGCTATAAATTTTTAAAAGAAATTAGGAATTAAATGCTGAAATAAATTCGGTTTATCGAGGCAAGTTATATTAGATAAATTCGTTGGATCGGTTTATTAAGAAAAACATTTATTGGGGAAAAAATAAAATTCAAACTATCTACCCAAGGGCGCATGTGTGAAAGTACAACTTGGTTGCTTTAGTGTAATTGACAGAGAAAATGGATTTGTCGTCGGTCACGTTAAGGCTAGTATCAGTGTCAATTTTGCAATTAACATTTTTTTTAGAACATAAAAGACAGTTTCATAGGTAAAAGTTCGAGTTTTGTTTTTAAAAAGAGCGGTTTGATTAGTGCTCCAACCGGGTCGGGTCCAACCCGTGACCCGACCCGGAACGCACATTTCGGGTCGGGCCGGATTGGGGTCAAACCCGACCCGAAATATTTCGGGTCAGCCTAAGAAACGTTATTTCTCGTTCAATATTAATTGGAATTAAACAAAAATTTGTGGGTATATACACGATTACATTCCGAACAACTCTACATAGACACAAAATACAAGTGTCTTAGTAAAAATAAAAGTTATTAACAAAAAACTCACGATTTTCGGATCAAACCCGATCCGAATCCGACCCGACCCGAAATTATCGGTTCGGGTCAACCTCAAACCCGATCCGAATCCGACTCGACCCGAAATGATCGGTCCGGGTCAACCTCAAACCCGATCCGAATCCGACTCGACCCGAAATTATCGGTTCGGGTCGACCTCAAACCCGATCCCGAACAGAGCTTTAGGTTTGATTGGTTGATCACAATAATTTTGCGATTTGATTGGTCAATCACAAAACCCCCGGTGATTGTCATCGTGACGACAAATAGACTCGAATATTTATCAAAAATCCGACGTTCGAGACTTCATGTTGAATAACATTTGAATTCAATGCTCTGTAATTATCCAGTATTGAACTTCATCTAAAAGTCGAAATGTTTCATTTTGAAAAGCCAAGTCCCTCGTGTGACAAAGATTTTAGTTAAACCGTTAGTCAAGTGTTAGAGTGTTAGACTTTATTACAATGCAGTTCGACGAACTTTTCCAAAAAGGCTAATTCGATTAAGCATCATTCATCGCGTTTGCTATAGCACAAAATACAGATAAAACCAGTTTAATTCCTTTTTTTTCAATTAGAACAAAGAAGTATTCACAATTGTCGTCAAAATATGCATTTGCTATTTGTCAATATACTAACAACAAATCTATTCGTTCATTTCAGTCAATGGATTATTCTCAATGGAACACTGGTCTGGTGTTCCATTGAGAATAATCCATTGATCCATTGGTTCAGTACAATCACTGAACCTGGTCCATTGACAACACTGGACTGGTTCATTCTGATTTCCGAAATTTTACTATCGTTCTATCCAAGAACCATTTACAATCATAAATTTGACGGGAATTACAATTTTCATCATTCAACTTTAAAAAATTGCTCGTATCAGGAATTTCCGTGCAAAAATCATCCATCTAATTAATAGAATTATTCCACATGTTCTTGTTTTGCAGTATTTATCTCAAATGAATTTGTTAATGCCATAGATTCAAGATACATAAGCGATGATTCATCTGATGACACTGACACCATTTGAAGAAATATTTTGAATTCAATTACTAAATTACAGTTAAAGTTCGATAAGCCGAAGGCCTCGATAAAGCGAACTCGCGTTAAAACGAAAAATTTTCAGGAACCAACCTATTAACAAAGAGCTTGATATAACGAAGAAGAATATAAATAGTACTTTATAACGTTAAGCGAAGTTTATTTTTGAATAACCCGAGGCCTTCGGTTTATCGAACTTTAACTGTATATACTTTTCTTTTATTAAAGCAAACAATGCTTTCTTAATTTTATATTGCACGTTCTCCGAGTTTGTGTATACACATACAGGCAAACCTTGTATAGTGAAGGTGTTCGGGCTATTAGTGAAAAATTTTCAAAAATTCACTATATCGAGAGTTATTAATAAATTCACTATATCGAGAGGATTTAATATGTTTTTAAGCTCAACTTCACTATATCGAGAGTTTAATTAGTCCTTCACTATATCAAGAGTTGACCGTATTCTAGTGATAGATCCTTAAAGTTATTACATGTATTTGCAGTTGAAGAATTTAAAGCTAAAGTTCACAAATTCTTACCCTGACAGGAAATTGCGTTCCAGCTAATGACAAAGGAAATGCGTATGTAAATCAAACCTTTTTTTTCTTTTGTTAATTATGATTATTTATTACAATTAATGTATTCATAGAACCAGTGTATTTTAGAATTAAAAATTTATATCGATATCGATATGGCTAATAACGATACGTTTCATTTTACATGTCTCAATCGACGTTAAGCATGCGGCCAAAAAAAGCCGTACACCGAACTGATCATACACCGATACCGATACGTATAAAAATTGAAATTACAAAAATATATATTTTTTTTTGATTTTATAAATTACATCGAAAAAGATGGTGAATCTTAATTTGCCATCACCATCACCACAAAGTAAATATTTCTATGCGTTCTTGTATGCAGTGTTGTACACGGTGGCGGCAGGGATTGCTATTATTGCATTGGCGGAATTGACTGTAAGTTTTTAAGTAATAGATTTTTGTTGTGATTTTGTTATTTTCTAATCGTCTTTTCGGAAAGTAGGATGAGGAGGAGGAGGAGGAGGAAGAAGAGGTGCTAGTGAATAACGATGATGATGACGACGATGAGAATCGGTGATGGAAAAAAGGGTTGTAGGAACTTTATTGTAGATTAGAATGGAAATAATAGATACTCGAAACAAAATATCCGGAGAGGTTTTAGACAGGATGGGCTGGGAATAATTTATACGAGTCCTCCATATTTATTGCAAATTAATATGCATTTATTTTAAATGCATCTAAATGTTTATGTAATATACATGCTAAAAACAACACACTTCCAAAAAAAATATTTAAAAAAAGTAACTCCTCGAAAATTCACGTTGTCCAATAACTCTATGTGTACGCAACACGACTGGCTGCGACGATGACGAAGATACTTGTTCGACTTCCTTTTTAAAAGTATCAATAAGTCTGTTATATTGTGAGTCAGTGGTGATGTCCGGTGCTAGTAGAGGTTTCAAGAAAGGTTTGAGCGTGCGTAATCGCGTTACGTTGTGATTTAGTGCCTGGATTTTTAAATATAGAATGAAAAATATGTCAAAGCTTTATTTTTTTGATCTTGGAAATATTTTTGAAAATGATTTAATACCGCTTCACCGAATTTCCCAGATTTTTTGCCTAATATAATATCTTTTTCTACATGTCGAACATTTTCTAGTCCATTTGCATGAAACAGTCGCAGCAGTTCTTTCCCAGGATTTGAAAGCATTCCATCATTCTCATACAGTAATTTCACTAAAAAAAAAAAGCGCACACAAAATTAAGTCTCAATCATTTGAAATAAAACCCGAACACAGGCAGGCTTAGAATAGAAAAAACCTACCAGCATCAGAAATCTTTCGAGTTGCAACTCCATCTCCAATAAATCCGACCTCAGCCTCCACACACTCCAACCACCCACCCGGCTTTGTCACTCTTGTCAGTTCTTTGATAACTTTTTCTTCCCACTGTTGTTTAGTGAACGCATCACACATCGCTCGTTGATGCACGAAATCAAAAGTAGCGTCTAGGTAATGCAAGCCGTCTAGGATATCACATTGCGAGAATTCAGTGTTGTGTGGACGTTGCCGTTTGTAAGGAAATGTTCGTGAAATGTCGACCCCAGTGAATGTTACTGCTGGATATTTTTCAGCCATTTCAATTAACCATGTGCCGGGACCACATCTTCATTTTTTAGTTACATACGAAAAGAATATTTGAGTATCGTATTTTAACAGGAAAAATTAACTAAAAATTAGATACCCAGAATCGAGCACAGCGGCACCATAATGGAAATTTTGTTCAACTGGCGAAATAAGATTACATTTCCAGAAATGTTGCCAAATCTAAAATCATAAATAATTATAAAAAGAACTAAAATAAGAGCGAAAAATGCCGATAACGACAATCACCAAATGATTTAATTTCAGTCTCTCTTGTGCAGCTTGATCAAAAACAGGTATATTCACAGAATCGCTGATTGCCTGATACCCTTGCTGTTGTGGACTACCATTAACGAACCGAAGTCGAGGTGCGATCGGTTTTCCTTCATCCTCATCCTCATATGAGTAACTGCAGCAAGAATTCCCCATATTAACAATATATATCAATATTTTTCGTTATTCGTAAATGACAGGATTTCGCTATTGCTGTAATACTGTACGATCGTTCTTTATGTGGGAGATGAACGACTATGTACATATACGTATTTGTTTACACAGAATGAAAGAAAAACCTGTTGATAAATCGCAGCACCCATGTATATGCTATAATTGGATTTAGTATTACCTCTTTAAATTCGACCGATAACGATTACGTAACGATAACGATAATCGTAATCCTGTAACAGTAAGATTGCAAAAATATACTTACTGTACCTAGTGCTAGTATTAAAATCACGATGATTGGTGTTTATTGCCGTTACCGTTACCTATTAACAACTTTTCATTTTAATTGGATCATTGGAAAAAACATTAAAACTACATGTACAATGTACATATACATGTATTAAGCAAAAACTCCTTGCATAAAAATGATAGCACTAGTTATTTTCCTCTCACCTTTTCAATTCTTTTAAACATGGGTGTTGTATCTGGGAAACTACGATGGAAGTCATTTCAAGTTCTACGAACAAGATCAGATAATAAAAGTAATGAAAATGCTCATTTAGACTTGAACGAAGTATATAAAGCTGATGTTTTAGAAGATTGTCGAACAATAAGTGGACGGCGGTACCATAATGTCCAAGGTGTACAATATTTCTTGCCGCTAGCAGATGAAAGTCGTGAGAAATGGCGATTAGAAACACTCAGCATGGTACGGTAAAAGATCAAGCTTTTATTTCTCTGTTTGCGCATTTATATTAATGTTCTCATTTTCAAACAAAGATTTGGAAAAATGCGCACAATGGAAGACGCTTTTCTGCACCGATGCACGAGAAATTAGAAAAAGGAGCAAGAATATTGGATGTTGGGTATGTATCTATGCATGTGCATACACACCCCTACAGTATATTACCGGAAATTTCAAAAATGAATGTGGCACTTTGGTACACGATATCTCGACATCCAGTGATCCCATTCGAACAAAAATATTACCATTCGATTCGTCTCGACTATACGAATCTAAAGATGATATTTTTGTTCGAATGGGGTCACTGGATGTCGAGATATCGTGTACCAAAGTGCCACATTCATTTTTGAAATTTCCGGTAATATACTGTAGGGGTGTGTATATGTGTCGGTTAGCGTTAGGTAATTTTATTTTAGAATTTTCTATAAAGATGTGCAGCGGGTAGCTGGTTACTAGACATGGCAATCTGCTACCCTAAAAGCTCGTTCGTTGGCGTCGATATCTCGTCTGAATTCATTCCAGAAAATGAAAAACCGAAAAACGTAATATACCTTCAATACAATGTTCTCGACGGCCTACCATTCTGCGATTCCTCATTCGATATGGTATACGAAAGATGCCTAATTTCCGCATTCAATAAATCTCGATTGATTACATTTATAGAAGAGTGTGTTAGGGTGACAAAGCCTGGTGGATGGATAGAGTCACATGAAATGGAAGCGATGTTTAGGGGTGAAGTAGGACCGACGACAAAGAGATTGTTACTAGCGAGTTAGTATTATGTATCTTTCTGGATGAATTCAACTACTTCTCATTAATATTATGTATTTTTCTACTATGGGAATTCTCGCTATAAGTGAACGACTTTCTAAAAATCAAAGGATGCGACGCGCGAACGTTTAGCACAATGTCTGAATATTTTGCCGCAAATGGCAAAATTGAAAATATCGGGGTTGAGAAAAACTCGATTCCTGTTGGTAGTTGGGCTGGACCGATTGGAGCATTAGTAAGTTTCATATGATTAACATTAATTTCTTTTCAATAAGATGTTGAAGATAATGTTTTATTTGAATTTTAATGTTTGAAGTCAGTCGAAGCTATTAACGAAGGTTGGCTTTCCTTAAAACCTGTAATGCAAATAACACTCGGCGTTAATGACCAGGAATACAATGGTTTGCTAGGACAAGTTCGTATAGAAGGGTCAAAATATAGAGCGACGTATCGAACGCATCGGGTGTTTGGTCAAAAGATAAAAAATGTTTCTGAAAGTGAAAATCATCGCGTGGCGGTATGACGATCATGCTGACGAATCGGGTAAAAGATTCATCCTTTTCGATAAAAGCATAACTCTAAATCATGATTACTATTACAAAAAGAATTTTTTCATTTCATATGAGAATTACTATTTCAGTATCGGTATGAGATTTCCCTATCGCTATTTTCTTTGCTTTAAACGGTCGCGTTTTCTCGCGGGTCTTCTTTGCTTATGTGCTACGTTTTCATTGTGATTGTATGTAGGGTTTAAACCACAATGATTCTTAAAAATAAAATTACCTATTTTGTTAACATAAGATAATTATCTTCTACTTTCGGAAATCTCGATTTTCAAAAATTTGACCGTCAAAAATAATTCTGTCACAATGACGACACAAAAAAATTAGTACGTAACTCGTTATGTAAAACAAGGGATAAGTTCAAAATATACATGTATTTTTTGGGGGAGGGCAAATGTGCAGAATATGTAAAAGCGTATTTCGGGTTACTAAACGGGCCGATCATATCTTTAAAAATAAAAATTTAGACTGCTGTGGATGTTTCCGTATCAGAGTTCTTTTTAAAAAGGCATAGGAAAAAATCTGTAGATTATTTTTTAAGGATAAGACAGAAACCAAACAAACCACACTCTACGCGCGCATGCTCGTTTAAACAGAAATCATGGTTTGCTTTTTTTGGATTTGTGGATCGAAATCGTATAACGATGTCGATAACGATAAACAAAAACAACAAAAAATCACACGTGTATCATCACTTGATATCAAATCGAAACCAATAATAATACTTGAAACACCGGAAGAAACAGCAAATCGTGAATTCCAATTCTGTCTATTTCACGCTCGCCAAAATTCGCGCAGATCGTTTCAAAAACTCGGATGGCACTATTTGAGCGGAAACGGCACAAGAAAAGACGAAAGGTTGGCGTTCTTTTGGTTCTTGAAGTCTGCGCAAGATGGAAATAAGTACAGTCAGTATTCGGTGGTTTGGTGTTATCGAAATGGGATTGGAACGACGAAGGATATTCATGAGGTGTTTAAGTGGTATCGAAAAATTAGGGTGAAGTGGAATATTAGAATGGATCCGATGGATATTTTCTTTGGTTAGCGTCAGCAGAGATAATCATCTTTGAATCGGAAAATCCTTGAATAAATTTGGCTTCAAGTTAAATAACCATATTTTCATTCCTTTGTATACATGTATAATAAGTTGACCTGAAAATTTTGCTTTGCATAAAATCCAAAAAAAAATAATAATTTCAGTTTCGTAAAATTTTGTTCTCAGATTTTTTCTTTCGTAGTATTGTAAATAGCATAAATTAAAATGATAATAAAACAGTTAACAAAAACCAATAATAATACTCGCACTAAAAAATGAAACCGCGCAAAGATTTACCATAAAATACTGTACGAAGAAAATTATGAAATTAGAGAACCGCAGCATCCATATCCTGTGCAAACAAAACTGAAAATTTATTTTTACCTTGAAAGCTGCTTAAAAATTGAAACTAACGCAAACTTAAACAGCTATATTTAATGTAGAAATGACTCCTCAACATTCTATTTCGTTATTTCGCATACTTTAGGAAAATCCTGGTGATTCTAAAAATTATATGTTTATAAGAAAAAAAAGAATCTTGGGTATAGTGCATAACATCTAAACTCATCAATACATTGTATTTTATAAATTCTACAAGTTCTTTACTAAGAAGTAAATAATCCGTGAATATAATCAAGAAAGGCCTATTCACAGATTAATTTTGTACATGTATGACCTATATTTAGGTGTTATGAAGAACTGATATCGATATGAATCTTAACGTTAATGTCATTCATTATCGTTATATATATTTCACAATTTAAAAGTGATATCAGAGTATCTTTGATATAACGATAAATTACAAACTTGAAAAAGCAATCGCCAATGATCTATTTTTATTCACGTACAGTAATGTTTTTTCTACAAAAGCAAAATTATACACATGTACATTATCGTTATGCTTAACTGCATCTTAAGTATTTAGATTGGGCGAACTTGCGAGAGTGATTTTTTATCATGAAAACAAACATTATCGTTATCGTTATACATGTACATTCAATTCTAATCTTAATAAATTTTTCTCTAATTACGCGCCAAATTTATTAAATTCCAGCAATAATTAATAAAAGTTACTTTTTTCTATAGAATGCTTTATGTTATTGAGCTATGATTATACAAGGCTTGTTTTTATCTAAATTCTCGGTGTTCATTTAGAAGTACGAACGTACGTAGTGTTCTTTCCAAAAAATACGTATACATGTATAAGGTGATACAACATTTAAATGGTAATTTGATGTCTACTACATACGCAATGGTGACGATGTTTACATGTGAGTTACGTTATTATTATCGTTATACATGTACACTAACGAGTGTTTTTGTGCATTTGATGAAGCCAGAATCCTTCAATAATTCAATATGGCAGATGTTGAACAACAACTCGAACAACTTGTACTAAACTTTGAATTAGAATTATCATCACTCGAAGACAACCAAGATGTTGGTTGTCACATAGTAAATTGGATTGCTCACAATCAATATGACGCCACAAATATATTTACACATTTATCCAATATAAAAAATAAAACCAGAATTCACACTTATTTAATCGGGATTTTTTGTGAATTTGGAATCGGAACATCTTCTCACTCAACCTTAGCTCTTAGTTATTATTATGAAGCGGCTCAAATGGGATACGAACCGGCCTATTATTCGACTGCAAAATTGTTTGGCTATCAAGATGAATTACACTCAAAAACAAATGCTGAACAAGTTATTTTTTGGTATAAAAAAGCTGCGGATGTTGGGAGTATGGACGGGTTATTACAAATGGGAGCAATTTATCTTGAAGGTTATAAAGTAGAAAAAGATGAGATTAAAGGATTCTCATACATTCAAAACGCTTTGAATCGAGGTTCAACAAAGGCCTTCCTCCCAATCTCAAACTTATATAGATACGGTATTGGCACAGCCGTAGATTTATACTTGGCTGTTTATTATTTAATCCGATCAGCAATAGAAGGAGGAAATACTCGGGGTGTTGAATTCAAAATCTTCATTCTACTTTATGAGACAAATTTTGATAGAGCTCAGGGACAATGTATTTTCAAATATTTGGAAGAATTTAGTTTTAAAAATAACAGTTTCGCGCAGTTATTTCTTGGAAATTTATATCGAAATGGTCTTTTAGTGAAACAAAACTTTCAAAAAGCGTACTTTTGGTATCGTAAATCGGCCTATGGCGGTAATGGTGAAGCTCGTACTAAAGTTATTAAATTTTTGGTCTCCGGTACCGGAACTATGAAAGATATGCATCTAGCAATTAAATTGTTTGCTAGGACAAATTGTCCTACGTTAAAAATGCAAAAAATTTTTTCTAATCATATTTAGTTCATAGGTCTAAAGTCTTTCAATTCTGTATTATTACAGTTTATTCATCTTTTAACGCATTTAATTTATTGTGTTTGCTGATAAGAAGAAGCTTTCATATTTCAAAATAATTATTACCATTACTGATATATATTTATAAAATGGATTCGAATGTCTCCTTAAAATTACAACACAAAATAATTTCCAAATTATACTCAAATTTTGATATATTAATATAAAGAGCAAATATAATTTAGATAAATTATAATTTCTTCATATATTTAAATCCATTATCCCTTAAACCGTCCAGCGAGCAGATTTGTTCGCTAAAATTTTTTTTAGCTTATTTTGTACATTTACTCCTAATTTTTATAGGCTTCCCTCCCCCTTTAAGCTAAAATAAAAATATAGCATATTTCTAATCAATATAATCTAAAATTTGTAATTTTTATTTATAAATTGCTCAAAATATTTGAATGATTTTGTAATCAATTCTGTAATTTTTTTAAAATTGCATATTTTTAGCTTATAGACAACTCTATTTTTTTATAATTATTATATAATATACAATTAAAGCTAATATTATTATTTTAATTCTTGATAAAATTCATTAAATATAAATTTATGAAATTTAGTGGGTAAATTTGTCTGCTAAATCTAATGGTTCAAGGAATAGTTTTTTATGAACAATGTTGAAATATCTAATTATTTTTCACCATAAGTACAGTTATATTAGAGCTTCAAACTTTATTATAAAATAAAATTGAAATTAAATATAAGTTTATTAAAAATAATTAGCAATTTAATTCTTTTATAGTATTTTAAAGTTCAGTTCAACTTTTGAATTATATCTGTTAATTTAACTTTTAATTCAAATTTGAGTCATACTATAAGTTCAATTCAGATTTAATTTATATTGATTTATAATTAATAATATGATTTATAACTTTTTTTGAGTGTAAAACTAAATTGTAATTCAAATTAGAACTGGATCTGAACTTATATTTAAATATTATAGTACTGTTATATGTTTTTTACTAATTGAGTAATTAGCTAATAAATGTAAACAAGAGTTGGAATAGATAATTAAACAAATATAAGAAGAATATCTAAGATCTATGCCAATTTCTATTGAAATTGTTATAGTTTGAAAGGAAAAAAGGATAAGATAATAGTGTTTCAATTAAGTATAGTGTTCTAAATAACTATACTAACTAATTAATTTATAAATTATTTAATTAAAATGACTAACAATTTATCTAACTAATTAAAATATCAAAAAAATAACAAAAGTAATAAAGACTTTTTCACTTCATTCTTCTCAAAGAAAGAGATTACAATATCTTTAATTTCAAATAATTTGATTATAACAAAAATATCAAAAGACTAGTTTATAACAAAATATTAATTCAATAATTTAATATTAATATTTTGATCAGCTCAATACAATCTCAAAGTTACTTGTTCACAAAATTTAAAGTGTACTATTGAGAGAAGAAGATAAATTATTTAAGTATTAAAAGATATTTATTTTATTATATTATTTATTCTCAAATTCTGACATGTTGAGTTAGAGCTTAACTACAATTTATATTTATATAATATTAAAAACAAGAAAAAAATATAAAAGATAATTATACTAATTAAAAATAGAATTCCAATTTACTAAATATA